GAAGCATGCGGAAAACTGAATGGAAGTTAAATATCGCAAGAGGGAAGATATCCTTAGAAGCAGAAAAGACATCCCTCTGGTCTGATGGAAAGAGCATAGGCTTTAGAATAAGATTTAAGATGAAATTCTGTTCCTCCCATCTACCAGCTGTATGTCCTTGGATAAATTACTTAATTTCGCCTAGCCTCGGTGACTCATCTCTGCACATTGCCTATGTCAATTGAAATGTATTTTAGAAAGATATATTAATCAAGGCATGAAAATTAATTTAAATAAAATGCTAATACCATACTTAAATATTGAATTTTAACTTACGGGAAAAAGCATTTATTCGGAACACCACACTCCTGAAGAATTGAGTTATTGTACTATGAAGTGAGTGATATTTTGTTGGGGGTGTAGGGGGTATAAAAAGCCTACAGGGAAGCATTATTCCATGCATGTTTTTGTATTTTATCTTGAAAGTTTATAGAAAGGTACTCATTGTCCAAGTTTTGACCTGGATTACTCAGAGCCCTGAAGACTCAGCACAATGGTTTAGACATCCTAACCTTTGTCTACTGCTGCACTTTTGCCTCTTCCCATAAGGGCCCCTGTAAGAAAACAGTTTCTGGCTGAGCAGGGATTTCCTTTGTGTTTCAGGAATCACTGACATTCCAGGATGTGGCTGTGAATTTCACCAGAGAGGAGTGGGACCAGCTGTACCCTGCTCAGAAGAACCTCTACCGAGATGTGATGCTGGAGAACTATAGGAATCTGGTTGCTCTGGGTAAGGACAGCATCCCTGTAAACCTGGAAATCATTATACATGGGTTTATTTCCCTAATTAGTGAAAACGTTCAGAGCTTTTGTGACTGTAGTTCAGAAGGGCAGGGTGGAAGAATGCTAATCAGTCTTGGAGACAGACCTCTGTTTCCTACCTTCTCCTGGGGTGAAAGGTCTTGACTCTGAAATGAGTAGCTTTACTTTGCTGTTGAAACCTCCCCCTTCCGAATCCAGATGCTCTAAAGATTTGAAAGATTGGAAATGAGTTCTGAGAGAGATTTTTGTTCCCAGTATAAAATTCTAAGACATACATTTTCCCAATGAATAGGGCATCAACTTTATAAGCCTGAAGTGATCACTCAGTTGGAGCAAGAGGAGCAGTGGATGATGGAAGGAGATAGCCCACTGGACACACACCCAGGTAAGAAGCCAGTATTCAGGTATTTGCTGCTCAGGGAAGCAAAATAGTCGCTTTTGAAATACTTTATGAGTGTGCTCTAAATGTCTCCCTCTGGGATTTAAAGCATACCGAGGCCTTTTTTAAAAATTCAGTTTATATTTGACATTTTTCCAAAGTGGACATGACTCTCTTATTTTTTCTGATGAAACAGATAACATATACTTACTATTAAAAAATTTATACAACACTAAAGTTATTTTGAAGGTATTAGTTTAAATGTCCATAAATACCTTGATGTTGCGAATCTCTACGTAGCATTTTCTTTCTCTTGTTTACTTACACATCCTCTTGAAATTCTTTAAATCTTTTCTTTCCATATCAAAAATCCTCTGCCATTTTTACCTATTTTTCATTCTCTCTTTTTCTTTTTGTTATCAAACTCTGTAAACTTGTCTAAAACCCATAACCTCAATTCTAATTCTCTTGCTCACCTTTGTGGTATAACCCTTATCCTACCTGTATTACTAAAATTGTTTTCTTGGAGATTAGCACTACCTTCCTTCCAGTCAAATGCAGTGGCTAAAAACCCAGTTATTGTCTCTTACGATCATGTTGCATTTGACTGTTCTGACTTTACTTTCTTAAAATTTTCTTCCACCCTGGTTTGTGATACACACTGTTCTTACCTCTTCCAGCCTCTCCCATCTGTTCCTTTACTACCTTCTCTCCCTCTTGTTCTTCTAAAGGCGTGTATACCTATGGACTTGGTGTTTACTCTGGTACAGTGCTTTTAAGTAGCCTTTCTGTGTCATTTTCCCATTTCTACATTTCTGACCTTAGCGCTTCACCCACATTGTCTACCCAGATTTTCGGCCATATTTTTGTTTATGACTGTCATGCTGTCATTTTAATTAAGTATCTCAAAACCTGGATCTGATGACTTTCTACTCTCTTCTTTAAAGCAACTCACTAAATGTGAGACTTCTTTTTTTTTAATGGGGGTAGGTAATTAGATTGATTGATTGATTGATTTTTCAAACAGGGGTACTGGGAATTGAACCCAGGACCTCATGAATGCTAGGCATGCACTCTACCACAGAGCTATAACCTCCCCCTAAATATGAGACTTCTTGACCAAGAAAAAACCCCAAAACCAAAAACCTTAGCTCTCTTTTATTGGCATACCATGTACAATGCTCTTCCTGGTTATATTATTAGCAAACAGTTGGCTGATAAATATATGCCAGATACTGAGTTGGTCATTTTCCATTTCTGATCTATTAAGCCAGGTTAACCTACCTCATCTCTATCTAGTTCCACCACTGAGTCTTTGCTCTCACACCTTGTTTCATCATTTAGACTTGGTTTTCGGTCATTCAGACTTTAGTTTTTCAAGTTGACTTTCACTTGGCCATCCTTGTTTTTAGTGCTCTAGGTTACCTTAGGTAGGAAACTTTGTTCCTATTTCAGCCTCACTGAACCTGAATTTTGACCTGACCGCTGCTGGCTTTCCAGTGCGCTAAGCCCATCTAGAGGCTGATTATTAAAACATTTTGTCCAGAACCCCTAGCACTTTCCCTGACAACACTGGGTAACATTATTTCCATGAGCCTTCACACTCTGGAAACTAGGGAGTAGGAAACTAAAGAGGAAAATGAAAAACTCCTTTCCAGGTGAGTCACCAGGTAGGTACCTACAACGGAATGCAGAGCTGTTCTTTCCCGTAGGTACCTATGCTGCCGTGAATAGGTCCACACTGTCTTCCGTTATGTCCCTACCCACAGACCCCCAACTAGAGAAAATAATCGCTAACTTAAGGAAATTTCCAGACTTCATTATGCAACAGTATGTGGATGCCCAAGGCTTTTGTTTCAAAGATCAGCTTGAACAAGTGATTTCTTCATATCCTTCTTGTCAGGGCCGGCAACCTAGCAGTATCCTTCAAGGAGACTGCTTGCATTTTTGCATTATCCTGTGAGTCACAATCAACGGCTTCTCTTATGAGGTTGTGGTAGAACATTTCTGTTGATTGAGGGACTGAGATAGAATGATCTGGCTTGTGCATGTGCTCTCTGGGGTATGGCTATCTCATTGTTATTGACATCTGCTGATATCTATTTATCTAGAAATTCTCTTCTTAGCTAAGATGAGATATGGAAAATGTCCAATGGATTTAGCAACAAAAAGGTTAGAAATGTTATTAATGAGAGAAATGACAGCAGTGATTAGCAGAACAATCAGTTTGTACATTATTGAGTGAACAGGAGGCAAAAAAGTAGAGCTAGTACGTATACGTATGCAGTACCCGTACAAGAAGCTAGACTGAGAAGGGGAGACAATAAAGAGGATAATCGCCAGAACAGGAGGTAGTGGCAAAAGAGGATCGTTCTGAGCAGGAATGATTTCAGCTTATTTATGGTGCTGAAAGGAAGGAGTTGGTAGAGAAGGTAAGCAGAAAATAGATACAAAAGTTGGAGCGAGGTTCCAGAAGAGAGAGGACTGGGGTTGGAGAGAAGGAGATTAGGGTGATTTTATATGTCTCAAGTTTGCTGGGGGAAGTTTAGGGGAGCTCACAATTGGTGATTTCTGGGTTTTGGTAAAGTAGGAAGCGAGGTCCTCTGTTGAAGTAAAAGCATTGGGAGGAGAAGTAGAGAACTTTGAGGAGCACTTGCTGTAGTTTGCTCAGGTCAGTGGAAGCGGACCAAAGATGAATAAAGGGCTGACCGAGCAGCTTTGAGGATGCAAATGAGATTTTGCCCTACACACTTGCGGTTTCTAATTTCCACGGGCATGCCGTTTCTCCTGTTATATTCAGCACTGGAACGGACTTTAGAGCCCAGGCTGAGGGCCCATTAGACGGGTGGAACTAAAGGAGGAAAACTGACAGTTAGTTGATTCAAGCGATTTGCCATAAAGACCAAAAAAGTAAAGTAAGACCTGAAGAGGTCTGAAAACTGGAAGACAACAGAAGAGCCAAGGAAATGGAGGTCTAGATAGGTCAGAAAGCAGCTGAATACAAACATGAGTCCACTCATTGGGCAAAAGTGTGACACTGAGTTTGAGATTTCTTATGTGGAGTGCAGTTCAGTTACCACTGTATAGCCAGATATATAGATTGTTGAAGAGGAGTGAAGGTCAAGGCACAGACAACTACCAGTTAGAAAATAAGATGGAAAAGAAGAGCCTCTTTAACAACAACTAAAAAAATAAAACATCCGGAAACAAACTTGCAACGAGAAATGTGCAGCACCTGCATGAGGACAACTTTAGAACACTTCTGACAGACGCAAAAATAAACTTGAATAAATGGGCACACCAAGATGTCATTGTCCCTAAAACACTTGAACTCTCGTAAAAAGTACCTATACACCTTTGGGAGGATCTAGATAAGCTCATTTGAAAGTTTATATGGAAAAGCCAAAGCACAAAAATAATCAGGAAAACTCTGAAAGAAAAAACAGTAAGGAGAATTATCACTACTAGGTAATATACAGTAAAATTTCCCTGGTTAAAATAAGGCAGACCAACTGAACAGAGTAGAAAATCCAGAAGTAGACCCAGATAGATGCAGAAATTTAGTGTATGATAAAGGCATCATTTCAAATTAGGAGGGGAAAGGTGGACATCTTAATAAATGGTGGTGAGGCAACTGATATTTAAAAGGTAGACCTTTTAATAAATAGTGGATAGCCATCTGGAAAGAGACAAAATTGGATCTATAACTAACTCCTTAAACCAAGATAAACTCCAAAGGGGTCAGAAACTTAGATGTAAAACGTGAGACCGTAAAAGACCTGGAAGAAAATATAGGAGAAATCTTTTATAACCTAGAAGTGGGGAAGTGTTTTCAGAAGACTATGATTCAAAATCTAGAAGCCATGAAAGAAAAGATTCATATATTAAACATACACAAATCCCCGTATTCTACTTAGTTTATAATAATAAGCAAAGTAAAAAGGTAAGTAGCAGTGGAGTAAGATATTTGCAACTTATATCAAAGGAGCTAATTTCTCATTAGTATGTAAAGGGCTCCTCTAATCAGTGAGGCCAACAGCCCAATAGAAAAATGCAGAAATATCAACAGGTCTTAGATAAAGGAGTGCAAACACCTTTAACATAGGAAAAAATGTTCAGTCTCACTCATGATAAGACAAACCCAAATTGAAACTACACCAGATTGCCTTTTCTTGCCTGTCAGATGAGCAAGTCTAAAAGTTTAGTAACACACTCTATTGATGAGCCCATAGGGAAGAAAGCGCTCTCATACAGCTGCTAGTATAAGATGAACCACCAGTCAACAAAAGAATGTTTTAGACTAAAGAAGGGGCTCCCTTTTCAGATACCCTGTTTGGCACTGTAGATTATTTGGATGAACAAAACGTTTTTGTAGAAGTAATTCAAACAGAAACGTATGGCCCACAAAACCTTAAATATTTACTGTATGATCCTTTACTTTTAGAAAAAGCTTGCTAACGTCTGCTAAAGCAATAGTTCCTAATTATTTGTGTCCACCACTCTCATTAAGATAAGAATTTTTAAAGCAACCTGTTAAGATCGATATAATCTGTAAAACTGAAACTTTCCAAACATTTACCCTTATTATTATGTCTGATGGACTCTGATATTTCCTGTTCCTTTTTTAGCCTAGTCTGTTTCAGTTTTTATTCATTTCTACCCAGTGATCAATATCATAACCCACTATAAATTGTGGCCCTTTTTTTTTAAATTAACAAAAGAGAACTGGAAACATCACAATGCTTTTGAAAGTAGAAAAGAAACTTTGAAAAATTTATTTTCTTCCCTACTTTTCTCCCTCATTTTTCCTTTTCTTCCACCTTCTTTCCCTCGCCGTCTCTGTTCTTCTTTCCTTTTGCTGTTTCCTTCCTTCCTGCTTCCTGAATAATTTGTTCAAAAGGCATTGGGTAGGCCTGAGCAGGGTAAGGGCCTGCCTGGCGAGGCCTGCAGTGCTGCAGGAGGCCTTGGAGGGTGTTGTTCAGATGCCCTGTGGTGTCACAATATGCTGACCAAAGGCGTGTCTAGAAGGTATCCTTTCTTAGATGCAGAGAAGGTCATACGGGCCCTAGAAATCTAATTTTATTAAAAGCCCGTAAGCCCCTAGGGTTGTTCCAGGAAGTGCAGAATCACTGGGGACAGATGGTAACCACACTGAGACTAGGGTAGTCTGTGTAAATCCCCTGTTTTTCTTTATGAAGACCCTTAGGCTCCTGCATATAACAGAAGCTTGATGAACTCCTGTCATAAGCTGGAGAGCCTTAATCTCGAGCTGTGACAGAGATATAACACTCACTTAACCTAGGATTTGGGCACAAGATAGATTGCATGTCATTCTCACAATGTAGGCAGGGAAAGCTCTTCTGCTTCCGTGTCTGAAAACAACTTTCTTCCCAAGCAGCACTTTTGCCTGTGATCTCAGACGCCGGGGGGGCTGGGCAGTATAAGGCCGGATAGGAGAGGAGGCAGAAGTACAAAGTAGGGCTTGGAGATTTCAGTGAATGACTGGGTTTCTAGACAGGTAAAGTCACACCAGGAAGGGAGTGGACAGTGGGTAATGCGTGAACAAGCACCTCTACGTGCTGTCACACACGTGCTTGATGGGGGTATTCATGCTTATCAGTGTCTACCCTCCTTTTAAGGTCAGTGGCAGTCATGTCTGCTAACGTGGGGGCTCAGGTTAGGTGAGGAGCTGGAGCAAAGGGACTAGAGTTTGTTCCTCAAAACTGCTTTAAAGCCCAAGATCATCGTCTCAATCTGGAGTCTAGACCCTGTCCCCTAGCGTCCCACTGGGATGTAGATAGGCAGCCCTGTGATTGAAGATCTGACGTGCCTTGAGGGTGTCCACAACGAGGAAGCAGTGCCTGTGCAGTCCTTGCACAGTCACTCCCCACAGTATGTCGATCGGGCTGCCCTGTTTCCGGGGATAAACAAAAGTTCTGGGAGCTGGGCCTCAGGGAATGAATGCCCTAAACTCTGCTTCTAGGCTATAGGAGCCTAGAGTTCTATGCTTACCTGTGGTTCCAGGAGCCAGGTCAGCAGCCTGCAGATTTTGGTGCTAAGAGTATATGAAAGACAGTCTTCAGAGCTCCAGCCAATTATTCCAACCATTTTAGTCAAAGTCCCTGAACAGACAAAAGCATTTCATCTGAAAATAAAGCAGTCCAGTTGATAACTTGGTTAAAATAATAATTTGGTTTAAAAATGAATCTTTTAAAACACTGTTTTTTCCACATATAATTTAATTTCAGACCAGAGTAAGTTTATAACTTTCTGATAGGACTTTTTTTAAATTTCTATTGCATGTTCAGCCAACTAATTCTTCTTGTTGCTCTGTTTGTGATAACAGGAAGTCCAATATAATCCAAATGTGAATTGACTTTGGTACATCCATAAAATTGGATTTTTTACAGTCCTTTAAAAATTATATGGAAATGTGTTTGTTGGCATGGAAATGTGTTCATGATACGCAATAATGTAAAAAAAAAGTAAACTACAATACAGAATTAGAGCATAATTCCATTTTATTTTCCCAGGACAGTTGCTGGCATAATTATTAATGGTGCCCCCTTTTACTGTCAGATGTCCTTGGTGACAGTCACTTGTGCCAGCTTTGATACCACTCATACAGCTTTGATATACATTCCCTGTGGTTGGAAGACCAAGACTAGTGCATGACTCACATCTGAGAAAGCTAAAGCAGCCCCAGGCCTGGGAACAGCTGACTGATGAGCTGGCTTTGGTGGGTGAGTCATGAGAAGCTGTTGAGATAAAGTCAGTCTGCACTACTCCAAGTTTTGTTGGGACAAGGTCTTATGAGTGTTTTTCATGAGTCAGCCAACATGATCTTGGATCTTATCGAATAGGATTCATGCCCTAAGGCTGGTCCCAAGGGATCACCCAAAATAGAGAGATCTATCTAGATCGTGGAAATGACAGGAGAGCGAGGGGTCCAGCTAGAACCTTCCAAGAATCATAAAAGTTCCCAAAAGTGAGTCTATTTTAAACATCCACCAAGCCGAGAATGTGCAGCCACCCAGTTGTACAAAAATTGGCCCATCTCTTAATCCCTCCTCCCTCCACACAGCTCCTACCCTGCAACTCCTGTTAGAACAGAACTAAACAAGAGTTAGTAAAGGAAGAGGTGTGCAGGGAGATAGTTGAGGGGAGGAAGAAGCAGAGTAGAAGCAGGAAAAAGACTAGCAGGGAGGGAGTAGGGAGTGGGGACGAGGCAGGCAGGGAGCGAGGAGGAGGAATATGACTCTCTAACAGCCCAGGGAAGGGGAGAGGGACCAACTGTGACGTTTTGGCTATTACACGTGACTGAACATTTTGACTACTGAACAGAGACTGTGTTTGTGATTTATTGCAACAGTGGAAGTATGTTACCTAGGAATGAGGGGAAGAGCCACGGGATCTGCCCAGATCTTCATCCAGAAGCAAAGGATAAAGTTTAAAGAGGTGGTGGGGGACTGAAATAAAATTTTGTTTTTATCACAATCCATGCATCATGCTTGTTCAAAGTATGTTTTACGTTTATATTTGTGTGAATATAAAAGAAATCCGGCAAGAGAGGCTTCAAACTGTCAACAATGATTACATTTAGGGGTTGGAATTCTAACTTTACACATTTCCACATTACTTGAATAGATTTACTGTAAGCAAGTATTAGTTTTCTCTTTTTAAATAACAGATTAAAAATAGGAAGAAATACTTTTAAAATAAACGAGTGGTTGGAGTTACAATAGAATATCTGCAGATGAGATTTAGAAGGTCTTAGACTTGGACCTGCCTAAGTACAGTCCTTCCTCTGAGGTCTCCCATCTCTGAACATAGATCTTACTCTGGTACTTCATTTTCTCCTTTCCATTTCCTTTCAGCTGTGGATACTCCTGAATGATCTCTTCTTTTTATGATTACCACACATATTTTAAAATTTCCCCCTGCTCACTGCTTCTTGTCATCCTTTTATAGTCTTTCCCCTTGTTACGTGGCCGTATTTCAGAACTTTCAATGCCACATTTGGCATTTGGCAGTTCATTATGTAATAATTTCTTTTACAAAATGGAGAATGCTGCAGAGTACTTTTTGTGTGTTCTGAATTTCTTTCAGATGGGGAGAATAGACCAGAGATCAAAAAATCAACTCAAAACCAGAATATTTCTGATGAAAATCAAACCCATGACGTGATAATGGAGAGACTAACAGGAGATAGTTTCTGGTACTCCATCTTAGGTGGACTCTGGGATTTTGATTACCAGTTAGAATTTAACCGAGAAAACCAGCAGAGACATTTAGGACAAGTATCTTTCACCCACAAAAGGATCACACAAGAGAGAAGCCTTGAATGTAATCGATTTGGGGAAAACTATAATCTGAACTCAAACCTTATTGTGCATCAGAGAATTCCTTCAATTAAAATACCCCTTAATTCTGACACACAAAGAAATAGCATCAAACATCATTCAGACTTGATTTACTATCAGAGAAACTATGTAAGGGAGGATCCTTATGAGTATAATGAGTGTGGAAAAGTCTTCAATCAACATATTCTTCTTCCTAATCACGTTCATGCTAAAGGGAAACCCAGTGAATGTGGGAAGGCCTTCAGCCAAAACTCATCTCTTGCTCAACCTCAGATAGTCCTCACAGGAGAGAAGCCCTATAAGTGTGATGAATGTGGGAAAAGATTCAGCCAGAGGATACATCTTATTCAACATCAGAGGATTCACACGGGAGAAAAACCTTTTATATGCAATGAGTGTGGGAAAGCCTTCCGTCAGCATTCATCCTTCACTCAGCATCTGAGAATTCATACTGGAGAGAAGCCCTATAAATGCAATCAGTGTGGTAAAGCCTTTAGCCGTATCACGTCCCTTACTGAGCATCATAGACTTCATACTGGAGAGAAGCCTTATGAATGTAGTTTCTGTGGGAAAGCCTTCAGCCAGAGGACACATCTTAATCAGCATGAGAGGACTCATACAGGAGAGAAGCCCTATAAATGTAATGAATGTGACAAAGCCTTCAGCCAGAGTGCACACCTTAATCAACATAGAAAAATCCATACTCGGGAGAAATTATGTGAATATAATAAATGTGAGAAAACTTTAAGCCACAATCCTTCACTTACTCAGCAGCACATAACTCAGAATTTTTAGCTTTGTCCTGGGCAGGGAGGGGGAAATCATTTGAATATATAAAAGTAAGAAAATTTTGGTCAGAACTTTTCATCCCATTCAATATCAGATTATTCATGGTGGAGAGAAAGCTTATAAATAAACTTTTGATGCATAGAAACCAAGTAAGTTTAGACCTTAAACTAGTAGCATATTATATTCCCAGGAAAGGTTATAAATAGTGAAAATAATTTATTTTGTAAACAAGGTTATATTAGTAGTCATGTTCCAAAACTTTTTTTAATGATCCTGTAGGCAATAACCTACAATTATTCTCCTGTGATTTTTATGGCATAAGGTTTTAAATTGATTAATCAAGCCAAGGATGTAATATAACCAGTCACATAAACTTGAAATAAACAGAAAAGAGCAATGTTTCTCAAACTTCAGTCATTTATGGGCATTCTTTACAGATTTTTACCGTATTTAGTGTTTACTTAATATTTTTCTTTAAACAGATTCAGAATTTTGAGTCTTGTCCTGGGAAGTATTATTTATGGAATTATAAGTTTTATATGCTAATTACATTCTAATTTCCATCAAAAATAAATATATAACTATGAGATTGAAAATATCCAGTGGTGTACTACCTAAATCTTCTGTACCATTATTATAAAAGCAATGTGATAGGATATGGCAATATTATGTTATTTTTTAGGAATCCTTGTATTATTTTCATCAAACAAGTCCTAGGATCTTTAAGAAGAGTCTAGGAGGAAGCTGAAGGTCATATTGATGAACTTTGAAAAGTGATTCAGAGAAGTCTGCTTTTCTGGTATTGTAGTTTGAAATTTCCCTATAGCAAACATAGGTTTTGGATTTAAATGGTTATTTCTGTTATGTTTGCAGGTTTGAATAGAGAGGAGGTTTTATTCAATAATGACCTTAGGGGCTTTATAAGAATCCCTGCACCTCCCTGCATCACTGTGGAAGACAAGAAGCAGGGGACTATGCCAGAGTGAAAGGTGGTGCCACGTTGAGGCTGAGAACCAGGGAAGAGCCTTATTGACTTATATAAACAGCTAAAGCAGTGTTACTAGTTAGCTTAATAATTCATCTTATTTATTGTAATGTATTTATGTAACACCTTTTTCCAAAAAAGAATTTAAGGTGGTTTAACTTGATTTTTATGATTACTGCCTTGTTTGACAGAAATCACATTTTGATGTTACAAAGCATTGTAAATATACACTGTCGTAACCATGAATTGCTGCAGCTGTGGGCCTGCTTCTGTTTCTTGGCTTTCTGTTTTTCTCTCAGTCTTCCCAGGCATGGCTGAAGAAGCCATGAGGCTAAGGTAGGAATGCAGTCTCTTGCTTTCTCGCCTTTCTTCTAACATATCTCCCAGCTCAAGACTTCCCTAGTTTTTTTCCCTGTGAAGGACTAGATTTTATAGGTCTTAACTGAAAGCTAAAATTATTTTAAAATTTTTTTTAATTAAAACACGAAAAACCAAGAAAGCAATGAAATGCACTCATTTCATCATGGAAGTAAAATTTTTCAAAGTACATTTAATGTCCCATCATTCAGTGGATGAAATAGTTACCAAAACCCTGGGTTACTGTAGTCAGGGAGGATTTCTAATAGTGTTTTGTGTTCAGAAATCTGTATAGTGGAGATCTATTTCCAGTTCTGGAAGTGTCTCTTCACTAAAAGGAGCTACATTTAACATTTATTTGCCCTAAGGCGGCAGAGTATAGAGCACTCAGGTTTCAGGAAGAGTGAGTGAGCCAAGATGAAGTCTCAGACTGCAGAGGTATGTATTAAAATAAGTAATGATTAATTACAAGTTGTGAAGCCTTTGATCAAAGTTTTAATTTTGCAACCAAGAAAAAAAAAAAACCCTGAATACTCCACAAAGAGTGCTAAGGACTTCAACACAATCAATGTGTCTCAGCACAGGTGAAGACGGAGAGCAGGATGGGGTTTTTGGAAGAGGATCAGCAGAATTTGGACAGTCCCAAAAAAGAGGAGTCTGGGATGAAGAAGACCACTGTTGGGCATGGAATTTCACCCAATTCTTCATAAATAGGAAATGTAAAATTAAAAGTCTATTACATACACTTAGGGTCATAAGTGATTATGCTTCTGTTAACTGTAAACTATGTCATTCTGGTGTGAATTCATTCTCGTGTCCTTTGTTCTTGTCAAACTGTTCCAAGTTAAGTGGATACTAAATATGGTCATCACATCAAAATACTGGTGCTCAGAGCAGAGGAGGCACAGGAGTAGTAGTCATTCAGAAACCTGTTGCTATGACGTATTTCTGTTTAGGAGGCTGAGATGTTACCCTTTCACATATATTAGTTCATTTGGTCCATCCAACCAGGTGCTGTTGCCTTTCTCATATCAAAAGAGATACTTTTAAGCTTAGACATAATAATAAATGATTTATTATTTAGGGTCTCCTGGACTGAAATGTCACTAGAACATGGATCATCTTACTCCTAATCCAGTGGATACAAACAGTGCCTGGAACAATGTTTTATAATACTCTGAAAACATTTGATAAATATATTAAAATTAATAAATTGAGAGACTTAAAATTAATAGATTGAGAGATTGCTGCTCAACACCAAAATTGAGAGATTGCTGCTCAACACTCTCCTTCTCAGAACCTCAGAATATATTAACAGTATCATCATGTTGATACATTCTTTTATGTCCAAAGGTCTTAGAGGCTTAGAGAAAAATACTAATTTGGATTTTGATTAATGTTCAATTTATTAATTTAAGAAACCAACTGACATTCTTTAAGCAGCCAGCATTCCTCTAATTATTCATAGATGTGCAAATAATAAATAAAAACCTAAGAATTTCTAAAATTAGATACCCCTACTCTTTTAGACACTGACCAGATTTAAACACATTTAAACGTTTCATTATATAGTTTAAAAATGTGGGGGGAGGGTATAGCTCAGTGGTAGTGTTGCTTAGCATGCTTGAGGTCCTGGGTTCAATCCCCAGCCCCTCCATAAATAGATAAACTTAATTATCTCCCCTCCAAATGTTTTTAAAAATAAATAAAACAAATTGTACAAAAATTAAAATGTTAAAAAAAAAACCCAGGTCTTTATAGAAAACCTTAAATATTCCACCAGAAAACTATTAGAGCTAATAAATGAATTCATTAAAGTCGCAGGATACAAGACTAATATACAGAAACCTGTTGCATTTCTAAACACTAATAATGAACTATCAGAAGGAGAAATCAAAAAATAATCCCATTTACAATCACATCAAAAAGAATAAAACGCCTACGGAATAAATTTAACCAAGGAGGTGAAAGACTTACACTCTGTAAACTATAAGATATTGATGAAGAAAACTGAAGACTTAACAAATAAGTGGAAAGATATTCCATGTTCATGGATTGGAAGAATTAATATGTTAAAATGTCCATACTACCCAAAGCAATCTATAGATTTAATGCACCTCCTCTATCAAAATAACCCATGACATTTTTCACTGGAACAAATAATCCTAAAATTTGAGGGAACCACAAAAGACCCTGAATAGCGAAAGAAGTCTTGAGAAAAAAGAACAAAGCCAGAGGTATCTGTCTCCCTGACTCTAGACTATACTACAAAGCTACAGTACAAAACAGTGTGGTCCTGGCACAGAAACATACATATAAACTGATGGAATAGAGAATAGAGGGCCCAGAAATATACCCACACACTTATAGTCAATTAATCTATGAAAAATGTAGCAAGAATATACAATGGAGAAAAGGTAATCTCTTCAATGAGTGGTGCTGGAAAATTGGACAGCCACATGTAAAAATAAAAATGGATCGTTTTCTCATACCTTATAAAAAATAAACTCAAAATGATTAAGGACCTCAACATAAGATCTGAAAACATAAAACTCCTAGAACAGGCAGAACACAGAAGAAAACATGACATAGGTCTTTGTGATTTTTTGGGGGGTGGGAATCTTTCTCTTCAGGCAACAGAAACAAAAGCAAAAATAAAAAATGGGAAAGAATCAAACTTGAAAGCTTCTGCATAACAAAGGAAACCATCAACAAAACAAAAAAGCAACCTATTAAATAGGAGAAGATGTTTGCAAATGATATGTGTGGTAAGGGGTTAATATCCAAAATATATAAAGAACTTATACAACTTCATATGTTAAAAAAAAACAATTTAAAAAAGGCAGAGGACCTGAACAGGCATTTTTCCAAAGAAGTCATACAGATGGCCATCCAAGAACATGAAAAATATGCTCAACATTACTAATCATCAAGGGAATGCACATCAAAATCACAATGAGATATCACCTCAAACCTGTCAAAATGACTATTATAAGAAAGTCTACAGATAGCAAATGTTGGCCAGGATGTGGAGAAAAGGAAACCCTAGTACACTGTTGGTGAGAATGTAAATTGGTGCTGCCACTGTGAAAAAACTAAGGAGTTTCCTTAAAAAACTAAAAATAGAACTACCATGTGATCCAGCAGTTCCAGTTCTGGGTATATCTCTGAAGAAAATGAAAACAATAACTCAAAAAGATATATACACTCCAGTTTTCTTTGCACCCAAATCATAAAGGAAGAAGTAGAATTGTTGTTATTTGCAGATGATATGATCTTATCCTTAAAGCTCCTAGAAGAAAACTAAGAGAGGAAGCTCCTTGACACTGGTCTTGGCTGTGACTATTTGGATATGTCACCAGAAGCAACAAAAGCAAAAGTCAACAAGCAAGGCTACATCAAACTAAAAAGCTTCTGCACAGCAAAAGAAACGGTCAACAAAATGAAAAGGCATCCTACGGAATTAGGGAAAATATTTGCAAACCATATATCAGGTAAGAGGTTAATATCCAAAATAAATAAAGAACTCATAAACTCAGTAGCAAAACAAACATTCCAGTTTAATATGGGCAGGGGAACTAAATACACATTTTCAAATAAGACTTTCAAAAGGCCAACCAGTACATGGAAAGATACCATCCCTAATTATCAGGGAAATGCAAATTAAAACCACAGTGAAATATCACCTCACACCTGTTCCATTTGATGGAATGGCTACCATCAAATAGACAAGGGATAACAAATGCTGATGAGGATCTGGAAAAAAGAAAAACATGTTGCACTGTTGGTGAGAACATAAATTGGCCCAACCACTATGGAAAAAAATAAAAATAGAACTGCCATATGATCCAGCAATTCCATTTCCTGGTATGTATTCAAAGAAAACAAAAACACTAACTCAAAAAGATACATGCACCCCCATGTTCACTGCAGCACTATTTACAATAGCCAAGACATGGAATGGATAAAGAAAGGTGTGTTTTTGTGTCTATAGATATATAGTAGATCCTATTCAGCCATTAAAAAAAGATGGAATACTTGCCATTTGCTACAACATGGATGGACCTTGAGGGCACTATACTAAGTGAAATAAGTCAGACAGAGAAAAACAAATACCATAGGATCTCACTTATACGTGGAATCTAAAACAAAACCAAAATCACAGATACAGAGAAAAGATTGGTGTTTGCCAGAGGCAGGGGTCGGGGTGAGCAAAATGGGTTAAGGTGGTCAAAAGGTACAACTTTCAGTTATAAAATAAGTAAGTCCTTGGGATGTAATGTACAGCCAGGTGCCTGTAGTTAATACTGTATATTGTATATAGTCATCCTTCATTGAGCTTCATAGATACTACATCTTTTATAAACTGAAGGTTCATGGCAACCCTGCACTGTCAGATGATAGTCAGCACTTTTTAGCAACAAAGTATTTTAATGTATTTTTCGATTATATTTTTTTATTAAAATATAGTCAGTTTACAATGTGTCAGTTTCTGGTGTACAGCATAATGTTTTAGTTATACATATACATACACGTATTCCTTTTCATATTCTTTTTCATTATAGGTTACAAGATATTGAATATGGTTCCCTGTGCTATACAATATAAACTTGATGTTTACCTACATTATAGTAGTTAGTATCTGCAAATCTTGAACTCCCAGTTTATCCCTTCCCACCTCCTTTTCCCCCTGGTAACCATAAGTTTTCTTATCATTTGTTTTCTACGTCTGTGAGTCTGTTTCTGTTTTGTAAATAAGTTCATTTGTGTCTTTTTTTTTTTAGATTCCACATATAAGTGATATCATACAGTATTTTTCCTTCTCTTTCTGGCTTCACTTAGAATAATGTTCTCCAGGTGCATCCATGCTGCTACAAATGACATTATTTTATTCTTTTTTATCGCTGAATAGTATTCCATTGTAGACATATACTATGTTGGTTTCATGTCTTAGTTATTGTAAATAGTACAGCTATGAACACTGGGGTGCATGTATCTTTCTAGTTAGAGTTCCTTCCAGATATATGCCCAGGAGTGAGATTGCTGGATCATATGGTAAGTCTATTTTTTGTATTTTGAGGAATCTCCATACTGTTTTCCATAATGGCTGCACCAAACTGCATTTCCACCAACAGGTTAGGAGGGTTCCCTTTTC